GTAACGAGACTGATTTTAGTAAATTTAAAATTTTACTTAAGACTCACCTTTTTAATTTAGCCTTTAATTAGGATTGAATTGTGCATGGTTTAATAGTTTTTTACAATTTAGATAAGGTTTTTATTAGTTTTGTAAATTTGATAAGGGTCTTACTGTAATTCATTATCTGATGTAATTTTTATATTCTATAATTGTGATGCGCATTTGATCATATGTAAATGGAATTTGAGCACTACAAATATTAAACTATTACTATTCTACATCTTGAGTGTATAATTAATCATTCATGTGAAATAGGTTACTTGTAATCAATGTGAAAGATTTGTAAGATATTCAGACCCCTGATAACAATTACTGATGTGCTGATTTGTAGTATTCAAAGGTAATGATTTTAGAGGAAGTAGGGGAAGAAACTTCTGGATATGGAATTTTGTTGCAAGCATCTGTTAAATCAGTTAAAAACTCTCTCTTATCATATTTCAAGAGTACATGATTGCCACACTAAAACCTTTTGTATTCTACATTGAACACCATGTGATGATTATGGTTTTAATAATAAAAGCTGCTGACTTAAGAACTTTGCAAAAAATATCTATGTACAAAGAAATAAATTGTGGTTAATTACTCCAGTAGCAGGTCAAACTATTCCTCTCTAATGGAAGTAACAGAAATTGTTATGATGGTGGTTTTGGTGGATGGAGAGAGAAACATCGTCCAAAACCACTTTAATCTAACTTCATGTCTTATGATTTCATGATGAACGTTTGGTCAGCAATTGTGCATTATAAGAAAAAATTAGCCAGAACGTAAACTGCTAATGTTTAGGGGAATATAATTCTTTTGCTTCCTTGAAGGTCTAACATTGGCCACAGATAAAATTAAAAAAGTACTGTTGTTGATTTTGATCACTGTTTTGGTGGATGTCCACGCCCGACATCCACCAAAACTACCAAATACCTTGGCACCTTTCAAATATCGGAAGTATCTGCCTAAAATTGCGCGGAACGTTTTATAACACTACCATCAACAAAATAAATTAGTACTTACCATTTCTCGGGTGTAAAGTTTTGACGCAATTTTCCAAACAAATATTCCACTCAAGTCATCGGGATGAATCGGCATGTTTTCGCAGCTTCAAAACTATTGAGACGTATAATTCGTCATGAGGTGTCCATCATTCAATCTCAGTCCCTCTCGACCGAGGTGGTTTTGGTGGATTGAATCTAATGCTGACACATGCGCATGTACCGTTGCACTTATGTCCTCTTGTTGTAGATATGTCCTCTGACGTAAGGTGATACAATGGCCAATCACATCCTGTGATCTATGGAGCGACATGCGGCTTGGGACTGGTTAAGAGATTCCGTTGCAGTTATGTGTTCAAGAAAAGTGCACATTCAAGGGGGTCGGGATAAGTAGAAAATTTGACACGCAACTTGCAACTGATCTCAGGAAAACACGCTGTTCGCAATCTCTCACATTACTTTCCTTGAAGTTCTATCACTCCTTCGTTAACGTCGTGTGATCGCATCGTTCTTCTAATCTAAACGTCCTAAACGTGGAAGAGCAACTTGCTACGTAAATAACAAAGCGACTTTTGACCAAAGGATGCGTTATTGTTCACGCTTCATTTGCAGTCTTGCTTTATTTACAGACGTCATTGTTCGACTTGCGACTTCAATGACAACATTTTACCCATATCACAATTGTTTTATTTTCTTGAATAGTTGAAGATCGTAGATTATGGTTCGTCGGCATAAAATTATATATTTTTGACGCTTCGCTGATCTGCCGGAGGTAAGATCGACTGAGAGGTCAAAGTTCTGATAATTTGTCTGCGTCACGAAGTCTTCCTTCAATCACAGAAGTTTGGCCTTCAGTTGATTATTTCGAATATCGTAGGTTTTTGCTGTATGGCAAAAATCTGAAGTAGTAGATTGTGAAATTTGAAATAGTAGATTGTGATGTGATTTTATTACGGTTCCGCTGATTTTAGCTGTACTTTCTTTAGTTCTGTCTCTAAATTTCATTACGGTCCGGTTCCGCTGTTTTAAGCTGCTCTTTTTTTAGTACTGTTTCTAAATTATTGTCGGATTTGTTGTACTTTTGGGTGGATTTGTCATAATTTACCCCGTTTACGACAAATTCACATAATGATCAAATCGAAAATCGGGTAAAGATGGCTATGGCAAGTCATTAGGATATATTCCACCTTAAGGACCTTAAGGATGAATTTCACAGAATTTACCCTGTTTTTCTA